AGAAAAGAGGAAAACGAACGCTGCCACATCTGGGACTTGAACATGTGGGAGTCTAGTGCCTTAACCACTCTGCCATCTGCTGACACCGTCTTTAAAAAATTTTTTTTTAATTTATTTAATTCCAATTGTTACTATTATTTTTTAATTTGACCAGAGAGGGACAGAGAGAGAAAAAAAAGGAAAGCGAAAAAGCAAGCTGCCAGGTCCCAGACTCAAACTGCGGTCGCCTATGTGGGAATCCAGCGCCGTTAGCCAACACACAACTTGCCGGCCCCGTCTCTCTCTCTCTCTTTTTAAGTTTATTTCCTCTGAGAGCGCGAGAGAGAGAGAGAGAGAGAGAGATCCCTGACAGGGTCTTGACACCATGACACACCCTCAGCCTCGGCCAGCTGTAACTGTGGCCACAGGATGCCCAGCGTACTCACGGAAGTCTCTGGGCTCCAACCCGGGACCTTTCCAGGTGGGTCAGCCTCGAAGAGTGTCAAGTTTTTCTGCTGTGCCACCATCTGGCCCTGATGAGCACCCTCATAGGAGACAGAGAGGAGACAGATGCACAGAGGAGGCACGTGACAAGGAAGCAGAGATGGAGGGGTGCTTCCACAGGCCTGGGGCTACCAGAAGAAGCCGGAAGAGGCGAGGAAGGCTCCTCTCTTAGAGCCTTGGAGGGAGGAAACCAGGCTGTGACATCGGACACGTACAATTTCACAACTGTAAGACAGCAGATTTTTATTTATTAAAAAACTTTTAGAGGTTTTCACCTTAGGGTGTGTTGGAGAGAGAGAGAGAGAGAGAAACAGAGACAGAAAGTGAGAGAAAGTGGGAAATCACCCCCTGAGGGGAGGGCCATGCTGCCTGAGAGAGAGAAAGTGGGAAATCACCCCCTGGGGGGAGGGCCATGCTGCAATCCCTTCCCCTTCATCATCCTCCCGGGATCTTGGGCACGCATACATGCTTGGCATGATTTTCAAACCACAGGGTCTGGGACTTGAACAGTGGTCAGCCATGTGGGAGTCCAGTGATGTAACCACTATAATACCTGCTGCTCCCAACAGTAGGCTTTTATTTTTAAAACTTTTAGCTATAAGGTGCGTGTGCTTGCCAGAGCGAGACATAGACCGAGAGAGAGAGTGAAAGTGAGACACCAGTCCCCAGCGGGGATGGCCATGCCATGATCCCTTCTCCTCCACTGTTCTCTCAGGAGTTTGGGCACTTAGGCACATGCGCCCAGTGTGATTTTCAAGCTGTCAGGTCTGGGATTCAAACCGTGGTCAGCCATGTGGGAATCTAGCACCTTAGTTACCATGCTATCTGTTGGCCCCAAGACAGTCATTCTTGGTTTTTATTTTTGAATTTTGCCAGAGACTGCATTTGCTCTGTGGAATGAGACAGAGAGAGAGAAACGGAGGGAGACAAGGAAAGTAAAAAAGCACCTCCGTGGGGGATAGTCATGTCACAATCCCTTCTCCACTTCTCCCTTCTTTTGCTATTTTGGACACACTTGTAAGGGAATGGACGCGTCCCTAGGGATTCCAGAAAGAGCTGCCCTGCTCACCTGACTTCCTTTGGCTGAGTGAAACAGATTTGGGCTTCTGTTCTCCAGAACCGCAAGAAAACACATTCGTGTTGTTTCGAGCCATTGAACCTGTGGTCATTTGATCCAGTGGCAATAGGAAATACATCCAAACCCCAATACAGAGACATTCTCTCGCTCAGGGGCCCCTGTGGGGCCAGCGAGTCAACTGTGACCCATCACGTGAGGCAGTCCCAGGGTGCAGGGTGCGGGGCTGGGTGGTGACGCAGGGGTAAATGTGATGTGCAAGTTCCGGGCTCGTGCCCAGAGACCTGCCTGAGTACATCCACGACCCGAGGTGAGGTGGACTGCGGCATCAAGACCCTGCCGGGGGGCTGGCCTGGTGACCTGGTGTTGAAGGAGCCGGATCTCACAGGGCTGACCACGTGATTTGAATCATAGCCCTGTGGCTTGAAAAACATGCTGGGTGTGTTTGTGCACGTGCCCCAAATCCCCACACGACGGAGGACTGGGAGAGAAGGGGTTCACAGCACAGCCCCGCCCCACTGTGTAGTGCTCCCCACAGTGCACATGCCCTCTAGCCCCTCCTCCCCCCAGCGCCCCCAAAAAAGACCCTGTTACTGCCTCTCTCTTGCTTATGGAAGACATAAACAAACATTAAAACAAGATCACATGATCGGGGCTGGCAGGTGACCTGGTGGTTAAAGCATTGGACTCCCAGATAGCCGACCACAGTTCAAGTCCCAGATCGGGCGGCTTGCTTTCTTACTTCCCCTTTCTTCTCTCTCTGATCAAATGAAAAAAAAAAAAAAAGTAAGAGAGACTAGCAGGTGGCATAACAATTATGTCACTGGACTCCCACATGGTTGGCTGTGGTTCAAGTCCTGGACCCAGAGGCTTGAAACTCATGCTGGGCACAAATGCATATGTGCCCAAGATCCCGAGAGGAGAATGGAGAAGGGACTGCGGTGTGGCCATCCCCCTTGGGAGGTGATTTCTAGCTTTCTGTCTGTTCCTCTCTGTCTCTGGTGAAGTGCATGCATCCTGTAGCAAAAATCTAAATAAATAAATAAATCTTAAAAAAAAAAATCACACGATGTTTCCAGGCCTCACTACTCAGAAAACTCACAAATACTGCACACTCAGAGGTAATCACAACCATGGCCAACCATGGTCACAAGGACCCACAAAGGACAGAATCCCTCCTAACTACACACACCCAGGGTCACTATGGAATCCAACAGGGTCCCTGGGAAGACGTCACCCAGCATGTCCTCCCAGAAACAATGACACTGACACAATGGCGGCAACACTCAGAATCAAACACACCAGAAGTCCCAGAGCGTCTCTCTCACACACCTGTCAGTCTGAGACACACGGCACACACTCCTCCAGGCCACCTCATGAGAACGGCCCAGCCCAGCAAGGGCTATGGTACAAAAATAGTTTATTACAAAAGAAATCTGACCAAACGCCTAATAATTTACATGCTTATCAGTGCTCCCTGCAGCCTCTCCCCTCCTCCACCTGAGTAGCGGGTAGAGGGGAACAGTGGCTCCCCAGTCCCCCCAGCTTGGGAAAGGACAGCGAAGTGGACGTGTGGTGGGGTTCTCAGAGGCCGGGCGCCTGAAACTGACGGTGAGTCCTGGGTGGCACAGGTGGGAGACACTGTGCTCAGAGGGGGTTTACGGGTAGGTGCGTGTGCCTCTGTGCAAATCCTGGTCCCGAAGATTGGGGGGGGGGCAGAGTGTGATCTTCACAGTTTCCAGAAGGGTGGACCCCCACAGGGCAGGGAGACCCCTCCTCACGAGTCCAAGATCTGCCCCCCCATCCCTCTCAGCTACCTCCTGGAGCTGGGGAGGGAGGCACTGGCCGGCCGGGGCCTCGAAGAACCCCAGCAAAGGGCAGGAAGGCAGGTGGAGATGAGGAAGGAAGGAAGAAATTGGGGGGCACCATGGGGAGTCCAGGAGGGTCTTTGGGGGGAGACTGGGAGGGCGAGGAGGATGGAGAGGCAGAGTGCAGACCTGTAGAGGGAAGGGAAAGGAGAGGTGAGGGAAGCCAGAGGCCCACTTTAGGAGGGGCTGGGGGCTGGACTCCAGGGTCCAGGGCAGGAGGCGCTGGGGGTGGGACTCCAGGGTCCAGGACAGGAGGGGCTGGGGGGTGGGACTCCAGGGTCCAGGGCAGGAGGGGCTGGGGG